TTAATGAGTTTTAAGAGGTTTAATTTAGTTAAATGCTATTTCAGATCTGTAAGGAGCAGCCTTGTCCTACATGCTCCATGCAGATGACGTAGTTCTGAGCAGTGGAAGCAGATAAGCGGTAAAAGCAAAAACTGAGGCATGGAAAGAAGTCCTTAAGAATGCCAGCCTTCGGTTCAGCAAAGGAATGTCAGAACACATGGCAGCTTCAGTATAGAGAACAAAGAGAAAGTCAACGAATTAAGTAAAAGTAGAATTCTATGTGGGCTAGCTCATACCCCAGAATTCAAGTATTTTGTTTCTATTCATTATTTAAAGTCAATGGGGGAACACGAACACAGCAGTGAATTAAGAAATCAGTCGAAAGAAATGAGCGGTTCATATTGAGAGAGGCGAGCGGTGTATGTACGATAAGAACATGCCGATCAAAGTAAAGGGGAAGGTGTAACAAATGATATTAGGGCCAGCATTTCTGCAGGGAGTGGAATATTTGGCTACCCGCAAAAGACAAGAGCAACAGCCGAACTCGGTAGAAATGCGAATGCTCATATGGATGCATGGTGTCATCAAAAAGAACCACATCCAGAAAGCCTTCAAAAGAGGCACTTTAAATATAGCATCAGTTTCATAGAAGCTGATCAGATGTAGGTTTCGCTGGTTCAGATATGTGAGCAAAAAACCCAATGAGTACGTTCGAAATGAGGTCCAATTACTGACCCTGTCAGAGTAGAAAAAACATGCAAAAGACGACAAAAGAAAAGAAGGTGAGATGTGCACTTGCACAATGCAAGTTCCAGGAATGAGCAATGCACGAATGTCCACGTACGAATCGTCCAAGCAGCCGAGAGAGACCATTTCCTTGGCCGATTTTGAGGTGGAGAGCGAAACAAACGCTGCTCTGGTCTCATAAGGTTTGCCGAAAGCAACTGCTTCCACCTCACGAATACTATGCTTGAAAATGCCGGCAGGTTACAGTGGACGTGGAGGAACCTTAGTGGGACGATCCCTAACAAAATCTATCACTGGTTGGTAGATGCAAGGTGAGAAACGACAGGTGTAATCAACATCGAGAGAGCATTACGCCAACAGGACACCATCTTTCCTATGCTTTTCGCATGATGGCGCTGAAATCCACCTTCGATCGTCTGAACTGGGGCGCTGGCATTAGCATGTATTTGAAAATGCTCGCCCATTTGTTCTTCATCTTCACTAAAGACCCTGCGAAACTCTAAACAAAGACTGTAAAGTTGCAGAAGAAGTCACGCGCCGTCTGTCTCTGGATGAGCTTCTCCGAGACGAAATGAATGCTCGACGAGCACTGCCCCACGAGTGTCATCTTCATTGACGCGAAGAACTGGAAAAAGTTGCTAACTACGTATACCATGAGACAATTTGAATCTTATTAGAACATCGCTGCTGGATAATGGACTGCCCAAGTCCTCGAAGAAACAACTATTTGACTCCTTCGTCCTACCGACCATTTTTTAGAGTACGGAGTGCTGGTCTGCCAACAAGGCTGAGAAAAATAAACTAGTAATAACGCAAATGGCGATGTAAGGAAGAATACGCAACGTGTTTCTTCGCTGCCATGTTCCAAGTGCTGTTCGATGTCCGACACGATTTTTGGATATATTTTCTACAGCTTACAATTCGAAGAGACTCTGAAAGACAACAGGGGGCATTCCGAATTGCAAACTGGAGTTCCCTCGACAACAGAGGTCTTTAATCGGTATACTGTTCACAGACATGTTATATGTGATTCGTCCATAGTATTAGTACTGGTATTTCGTCATCAGGTTTTCAGGAAGCCCATGTCGCACTAACGATGACGGCATTGATCCTGAAGTTAATTGCTCTAATGGATTGGTGTCAGCAGATTTGGGGAAGCTATATGACATACGGAATGATCGAACTAGCAAAGTGTGTATGAAAATCATTCTTCTGAAAACAGCCGGTGCTCATATA